ATGAACGCTTGCCCGACGACTGGAATTTAAGTGTGCTCTGCATATTCCGCAAGAAAGGCGACCCCGCCATTCCCGCCAACTACCGCGGGATCAGCCTTCTAAGCATAGGTTACAAGGCCTTATCGAGCGTATTGTGTAAAAGACTGAAGCCCACCGTCAATGAACTGATTGGACCTTATCAGTGTGGATTTAGGCTGGAAAATCCACCATAGACCAAGTATTCACAAAATGCCAAATCTTGGAAAAGACCCGCGAGAAAAGAATCGACACTCACCACCAATTTGTCGACTTTGAAGCCGCTTTAAACAGCAATAAAAGGAGTTGCCTATACGCCGCTATGTCTGAATTTGGCATCCCCGCCAAAATAATACGGCTGTGTAAAATGACGTTGAGCAATACCACCAGCTCAGTCAGAATTGGGAAAGACCTCTCCGATCCGTTCGCCACCAAACGAGGCTTCAGACAGGGCGACTCTATTTCATGTGACTTCATTAATCTGATGTTGGAGAAGATAATAAGAGCTGCAGAAATGAACCGCTCAGGAACAATTTACCACAAGAGCGTGCAATTGCTGGCTTATGCGATGACATCGATATCATCGGTATTAAAAACTGCGAAGTCTGTTCTGAGGCAATTCAGAAGTAAAGTCCTCTCTCGACGTACGAAAACCACACTCTATAAGTAACTCATCATTCCCGTGCTGGTATATGGCGCAGAAGCATGGACAATGACAACATCCGATGAGGCGGCTTCGGAGTATTCGAGAGAAATATTTGGCGGAAGATTTACGGGCATTTGCGCGTTGGCGACGGCGAGTACCACCGACGATGGAACGATGAGCTCTATGAGCTTTACAACGACACGGACATAGTGCAGCGAATTAAAATACAGCGGCTCCGCTGGGTTGGTCATGTCGTTCGTATGGACACCGACGTTCCAGCTCTGAAAGTATTCACCTCGGAACGCGCTGGTGGTACCAGAGGAAGAAGAAGGCCCCCACTGAGATGGAAAGACCAGGTGGAGGAGGACTTGGCTTCACTTGGCATTTCCAATTGGCACCAGTTGGCACAGAAAATAAACGACTGGCGTGCTTTGTTGAACTCGGCCAAAATCGCTTAGGCGGTTACAGCGCCAAATAAGAAGAAGAAGAAGACGAAGAAGGGTTAAGAAAGTTTAAGTTTAAATCGCAATAAGAGCTTTTGCGTTGGCCAATGCAAAAGAGCGTTTAAAAACAAAATTAGTCTGTAAAGTCAAAATTTTTGATTTAAGTTGAAACCACTTAGGCGCAGTATCCTCCTCACACATAGGCCAATAATAGTAACGCTGTGATACCATATGGAATACCAATCCCTTTCGGTGTCATGAGCTTTACCGATGGTCTTATTTCCACCTGTGAGATCTCTGCCAGGCATGCGTAATCTTTTTGTATGATCTTGCAACTAAAATATTGGTTCTTATAGGGAAACTCAAGAGCACAGAAGTGCGTTTTCTGTTATAGGAGGGCCAAGAATCCTCGCTGTCCCTCATGATGAAAAGTTTTCCGGTACTTTGCTAAATGAGTCGTGTGATCTCTTAAGTATCTTTCAAATGAAGCAATTGATATACCTACGGTGATCTTTCCTTGTTAATTAACGACTTTTACAATTCGTCGTAAAATTTATGAACTGATTTCTGGGTCGATCCAAGACCGCATGATCATGCATGAGGGCGTCAGAAAAACTTAACCCCATCCTTCATTTAGACATCTGAAAACCAAATTCGTATAACTTAAACATAGTGCCAAAGCAGACCAACCACGAAGGGTTTCTATACGTTTCGTCTACAGCGCCATCCATTGCGTTCATTTTCTGCAAAACCATTGCTTACCGTAAAATGAATACGTGTTATGAATTTCAACCTTTACTCCAGCGGCACTAATCAGGTAAATTTTAATCAAAAGAATTTTCCATCATACAGGTTCATTTAAAGCTCACATTTAAAATTTGAACGAAATCGGTTAATAAATACGATTTTTATAAATAACTCTACTCCAGGACCACCTAGCGAGTTTTCTAGTAGCATGTAATTGGACCATACATGTATGTAAGGTAACCTCCGACAATCTGACGGAACTTATTCAGTGGTTTCTGAGTTTATTCCGAACAACAAAAACGGCTATCATTTTATGCAAATAGGTATGTAGATGGGACAGTTTATAGCGAAACTCGTAAAAGCAAAGCTCCATTCTTTGTGAAACATTTAAAAAAATTCTCCAAAATTTTCACATAAATTTTACCTTACTCAAAATTAAAGACAAAGTTACATTAGTTCAATGGGATTTGGAAATCCTGGAGAAAATGGTTCCCAATCGAATGATACTTGCGCGTTTACGTAAATGTATATCGATCCAGCCTTTCCAATAATTACCACTTTTCGCCATAACTACGGTATTGATAACATATGTAGCTGTGTACAATTTCAGCACGTTAGCGTAAGCAGTTCCAGAGATAAGCTATATGAGAATTTCAGTTTGTATAGAAGGAAGGAGCCACGCCCCCTTTCCCAATGCGTTTGCAATATATGTATCAGTGCTAAGTTTCAGTTTCCCAGCGTAATTGGTTTTAGAGATATATTGGTTTTTTACGTTTTAGTCTGTATAAGAACTTTAGGAATATCCCGAGCTACATACCGAGTAAATTTTTGGTCAGAATATTTATTTTCAAGGTGTTGCCAAATATGAACCAAGTCGGTGGAGCCGTTTAGTAGTTTAGTGAAACACATTTTAAAGAGAACTGTATGAAATTGTAAAACGTGACGTCTCAGATTTCTTAATTTTTTGGCAGCAACAACGAAAAGTTTTAATTTTTTTAGCGAAAAACCTTCCACACAAAAAAAATAAAAAATTAAGTTTGTGGTTATATCAAGGCGAAATTTTGAGAACGGTCCGTTGCTAACCCTAAATATAAACAACGACGCACTGGAAAAAGTTAATACGTTCAAATACCTAGGAATAATGATCGACGATAAACTAAAACAAAAAAAAAATGGATTCTATATTTTCAATTAGAGCTCTAGCAAAACTGCATTTAATTCCATACATTAGCTTTTGCGTGATGCGCTTGCAAACATACAGACAAACATGCAGAAATTTTAGATTTGGCTTCTGTTGATCTAATAAACCCCCTATTAATTTTTCTTTAACACCTATTATGTACAGATATCGGCCTGTTGCAATTTTATTATTCTCAAGTACACTCGTTTGATTGGCAACACTTAGTTTATATTACAAATTTAACTGAATTAAAGTTTTCAAATAAGTGACAACCCGCTTCGAGAATATTTTCAAAAGTAAGCTTCCTAATCCTCTTTAGTTTAATATTCGTATTGCAATATTTCATTTATTTTACAAATTTTAATGAATACAATTTTTCAATGAGTTGGCAAATCCCCTAAAAATATTTTCAGGATTAAAATTTCCTATCGTCTTTAGTTTGATGCCAATATTGCAATATTTAATTTATGCTATCAATTAAATTAAATTAAAGTTTTCAAATAGGTGGCAACCTTCCACAAAAATATTTTCAGCTGTAGGCCTTTGTAAATTTCTCTCTTTTGGCAGCCATATTGCAGTATTCACATTACCGTATCAATTGACCTAAACTGAAATTTTAAACACAGGTGGCAACTCTCTAATTTTTTCTTCTATATTCGAAGCTAGATCTCTGGCGATACATCGGTGAAAACTGCATTCAATTCCATGTTTTCGACTGATGCGCGCACAAATATACAGACAGACAGATATTCAAAAATTCTAAAAATTGTTTATTTGGCTTCTGTGGTTTTAATAAAAACCCACCATATTAATTTTTCTTTAATATCTATAAGGTACAGACATCGACCTGTTACAATTTTATTATATGTATATCTAGATGTAGATATAGATTTCATTTATTTAATCAATTTAATACAATAAAATTTTTCAAACAGGTGGCAGCCCTCCCTAAAAATATTTTCCGCAATAAAATTTCCTAAACCCCTTCAGTTTGATACCCATATTGCAATATTCAATTTATCTTACAAATTAAATTAAATGTAAATTTTCAAACAGATGGCAACTCTACAAAAATACCTTTGGCTGTAAGCTTTCTTCACTCTCTTTCTTTTGACGCCCATATTGCAATATTCATTTTTTCTTATCAATTTACTTAAACTCAAATTTTCAAACAGGTGGCAACTGTCTAATTCTTTTCTTCCTATATTTTAAGTTGGACCTCTAGCAATACATCGGTGAAAACTGCATTCAAATCCATGCATTCGTTTTAGAGTGATGCGCGAACAAACATACAGACAGACAGACAAAAATTCTAAAAATGGTTGATTTGGCTTCTGGTGCTCTAATAAAGTCCTCCCACATTAATTTTTCTTTAATATCTACAATGTACAGACATCGACCTGTTACAATTTTATTATATGTATAGATACTAAATGCCTTTCACCATGAAACGGCGCTAATTTTAAGTGATTATTGCGTTTCATACTACTACTAATAAAGCCCGTGGGCGAATATTGTGAAGGGTTCCGACTATACATTAAAAATACTGTTTTCTCAGGTCCCGCTGTACGAAGCTATAAGTAGAGTGAGGCCCTGTAATAACTTAACAATTTTCTTGGGTTATCAGGTATCTAGCAATACAAGATTTAAGTTTAAATACTTAATATCTGCAAGTATTTCTTTAATGCAATCACCCGAATTTCGGGGGGTTATTACTAGTATTATTTAAAGCCCAGATTTTAATGTTATGCACAAATTATAAAATTTTATAGCCACCCTTAAACCTCTATATATGTACCATAAGAAACAATATTGTGGGCGCTTTTTCGTTTGGAAATTTATGGCAAGTTGTCCCTTCAAATATTAAAGAAAAAGCTTCCGTATATTTTGGAAGAACCCTAAAGAGTGTACAAGAGTATTTTTTATATAATATCGATAACAAATAATAATTGAAAAGTACAATAGCTAATTCGAAATAATAATGCACAATTTACTGTTATGTGGTTCATATAAACAATGTATGAATTTTTGTATATAGTATATACATGTGTACATACGACGTAACAAAGTACCATTATCCATATTTAAAATATACCTATGTATTTCCGTTGTGAGGTATGATATTTTACACACAATAATTTTTTCATGATCCCGTTAATCCAGCTATTAATTGCTTTGCAAATTTACGAAGTTGTAAAGGATCACCGTCATTAAAGTTTTCCAATATCAATCCCATTTCCTTTTCCAGGCCAGCCGATATCGATGTAGTTATCCGGTCTTTAAACAAGTTTGTAATAGGAGTTAAAATTGAACCAGTTAGCTGCCCGATAAAATTATCCAAGTGAATATGTATTTTTCTGAAAAACAAATAAAAGTTACAGCATTTAGTATGCAACCATACACTGTAATTAAATAATTGCCCTAATAGAAGTATGTAAAAGTATAGTGGCGTGCTCACATAATTAGGCCACCTAAATATGTATGTGCCAGAGCTGCAAATCAACAATTTTTTTCTATTCAGTTTTCATTACTTATTCCTCGCTTAAGATTGAGGTTTATAATTTTTAAATATTTCATTCACTCAAAGCAGTTATGAATTCTCAGATCAACATATTCAACACAAGATTGAAAAAACCAATGTCGAATCAAAAAATTTTTAACACTGGTGAAAAAAGAGTAAAGTCGGAATAGTAATGCTCTCACGCCCTTATAGAAGTATGTAAAAGTACAGTGGCGTGCTCACATAATTGAGGCACCTACATAAGTATGTACCAGAGCTGTGTAAGTGTATTAAATTTATCATTTTCAATTTTGAATCAACAATTTTTTTCTATTCAGTTTTCATTACTTAGGCACTCCGCACATTAACCCTCCGTTAGGCGCGTGGACTACATATGTAATCCACACATCTTTTAGCAGGGACCAATTAAAACTTGGGTGGAGGATGACATTGCCCGCTTGAATAGCTATCGATGATATACAAAAGTGCTCACTTAGTATAAAATTGAGGGGCTAGGCCCACATTTACCACTTTTAGCCACAGTTGAATACGAGTGGACTACAATTGTAATCCACGCGCCTAATTACGTAACATTTTTTGCCAAGTTCACATTTTGGAAGTTTGTCTGTTTAAACACTGAGATAAGTTTTATAATTCCAAAAAACAAATCTTAATTCCATCAAAAAATTTTTACTTTGTTCATTATAAATTAGCATTGAATTTCATAACCTTTTTGTAGTGCAAATTCCAACGATTTCGGGTCTATACATTTCAGTGTTTCCATAAATTAACATTAGCTTTTTGTTTTGTATTTGGCTATTTTCGCATATCTAAGAATTTAAATTTGTTTATAAGCAATGTTAAGGCTATTCAGTATGTACAATAAATATTTCACTATAGATATGTCATATGTTGTTTTACATGGAAATTGAAATTTCTGATGCAAAAAAGATACATTTGGAACCAGAAGAAAGCTCTATGGATGAAGAAGATGAAGATAAGCTTAGTTTTTTTATAATTTGGAAATTATTGCTTGGGAGCTAGTAAAACTGCAAACTGAACACCGATTACTAATATGTCAAGCGAAGTTGATCGTCTAGGACGGCATCTACTTTGTATAGAAAAGATTTATAGCCTCCACCAGCCGACATGCCAGAAAATTGCTTTCGGCGAAGTCCACAAGAAATATTTGCCAAACACGTAGTAAATATTCAAAACTGATAGAATACATTTTCTCTCAATCGTGGTAAATAAATATGCATGTAAGAATCATATGAGAGATGAGAGCATCGCTTATTTGGCAGAGAAAAACATGCTCCATATTTGACTTGTATTTCCTCGTTTATATGCTTTCATATTTTTTCACTGTTCAGTTTGTATTAAGTCGATGATTTAAAATAAAAATGTGAAATTAGTTTAGCTCTTTTTATTGCATACTTTGAATTTGCAATAATTCTTAAGAACCTTCTATTAAACGGCTCAAAACAACACGCATTGCCTGTTTTAATATTTCTCTCATAAAAGTTAGATAAAACCAAAGTCAAAATATGTTTGAGACGTGTTAAATAATATAAATAAACATTTATTGGAAACATATATAAAATTTTTTTGTAAATAAAATATTATAGCAGCCAAAGAAGTTGGACTACTATTGTAATCCACGCGACTAACCGCGTGAGTAGAACCCATGCGCCTAATGGAGGGTTAAGCTCCTAATCATAGTAGCGTAATCGTTTCGGCATACTAAAGTATAAAGCTTTTATGCCGAACACATGTGTTTCAATGAAGCTCTGTACATTACGATTCAAAATCTGGTTTTCGCCTAAACATAAAAGCTTCATGAATCGAAGCGCCCAACATTGTAAGGTGCTTGTAGTTTTGAAATCATCATTTGTTTACTTTTTTGTGTTGAAAATAAAATTTATTTGTCAATTCAATAGAAAATGAATGATTTCGTGCTAAAATTCGTGCAAATTGTATTAAACCACAAGCGTTTATGCAATATTGCGGAGCAGAAATATTTGCGGAAGTGCGTAGTTGCGAAAGAACGGCCAGAAAATTTGTTATGTGTATAAACCCAGCAAAAAATGGGTAATCGCGTTTAGTGGTAACGTGTTCTAGAAGGCATAGCGTTATAATGCCTTCGAATTTTTTCGCTTCTTTTATGCATTGCTAGTATTGCAAAGTAGAATGTCCTACAATATTTTATTTATTTCGCTTCTTTGTTTCATTTCGGAGAATGCAAAGTAGAATGTCCTATAATATTTCCTTTTTAATTCGTTTCTTTGCTTCATTTCCGGGAAAGCAAAGTATAATGTCCTACAATATTTTATTTGTTTCGCTTCTTTACTTCATTTCAGGGAATGCAAAGTAGAATGTCCTCCAACATTTTATTTGTTTCGCTTCTTTGCTTCATTTCAGGGAATGCAAAGTAGAATGTCCTACAATATTTTATTTGTTTCGCTTCTTTGCTTCATTTCCGGGAATGCAAAGTAGTCAGCTGAAAAATAGAATGAATATCCAAAAGTTCTTTTTCTACCGTTGCTTTCTGTGGAAATTTGTCTCGCATAAAAATCATGTTTTGCTTTGTTCAATTTGCAGCGAAGTTGAAGTCAGTCGATGAAGTGAAGTACAAGAGTGAGGAAGTACAATATTAAGCTTAATTAATAATGAATATATGTACATACCGATTTTTAAGAAAATCTTAATACCTAAATACATACATACATATGTTTGTATAAAAGCTGATTTATAAAAATTTTAATTTTAATCTTTTAAGACATTTTCTGATTTAAATTTAATATAAATAAGTATGTACTTATCTAGGCATTCTGCATTAGTTTCTCTGTAAGGCATTCTTTGTTCGCTTCTCTGGATTCTGTTTATCCATGCGTTCTCCCTTCGTTTGAAGGTAATGCTGCGGGTAAGGGCTTACCTCCAATGACATGCCCATGTTAAAATAAGGCCTTCTTGAAGCGAAAGGGTAAGCGATTCCCATCGCCTAGCTCGTTTCTACTTTCGTTCCTGTGGTAATCGTGTTTTTTGCTGGGAAGTGTTTATTAGCTGGTGACTTATGCACGGCGTGGAAGTGTGCAGAAGTCGAGTCGTCATGCATTCGTTTCGGCATGACGAAACGATTACTCTACTTTGATTAGGCGCGTAATGTGCCTAGTGCCTTATTCCTCGCTTAAGATTGAGGTTTCTAATTTTAAAATTTTTCATTCACTCAAAGCAGTTATGAATTCTCAGATCAACATATTCAACACAAGATTGAAAAAACCAATGTCGAATTAAAAAAAATTTTAACACTGGTGAAAAAAGGGTAAAGTCGGAATTGTAATGCTTTCACCCCCTAGGATTGTTCTATATAGAAAAAGGTAAACCCCTATTTTTTTATTTTGAAATCAAAAAATATTTAGAGGTCGCTCAAAGTGCTCAAAGTTATCCATGTATTTTTATACGGGAAAAAAAAATTTTTTTGTAGAGATGGTATAGAATTCTTGAAAATCAATATTTTTCGATCGGTAAACTTTGGTTCACTTCAGGATACTTTCAACAATAATACCCAACTGTTTATTTAACCATTTTTTAATACTAACGATTTTTTATTGGTCACACCATTGCATTTTTCGGTGTTTTTGTGAGTTGTTGGCGGACCTATAATTTGTAGTTGCGATGGAAAAATGTTGAAGCAACAATTGGGTATTATTATTGGGAATCTCCTACAGATAAACAGAGTCTTCTGGTAGAAAAATATTTTATTATTTTTTACTATTCTATACCATTTCTACGAAAAGTTTTTTTTTCCCCATATAAAATACATGGGAAACTTTGGGCGCTTTGAACAACCTCTAAACATTTTTTGATTTCAAAATTAAAAAATAAGGATGTATTTTTTTCGGTATAGAACAATCCTATTGGCTGAGAGCATAAAAATTCCGACTTTACTTCTTCACATGCATTTTTCGACCACCCTAGTGTGCATTCATTAATTCAGTACCAATCATTCAATATAATTAGTTCAAGGACACCCTGGAAGTGAAGAAACGCACATGATACAAAAAAGAAGGTAGTTTCAATAAACAACTTTTCGATTAAGGGCGTGTGTGAATCGGTAACAAAGTTCTGTGGGGAAAGCTGGTGAATATTATTTTTACTATGGGGAGACAGTTTTGCTAATCTGCTGTGTGAAATGAAATCTTTTTTGACAGCGGTAAATTTTTGACGTCCGTAGAATAAAATATTATAAAATGCAGTGAAATGAATATTTTAAGAAGACATTTACCATCATTGATTGCAATTCATCAATATAAGCTTTTAATCAATTTAATTTTAATCAATGAAAGGTTTGAAACACTAAAGAAATTTATCGAAAATGTTTAATGTATTGTAATACTTCTTAATTTTGCCACCAGAAACTCCATTTCCTTATATGTTACTGTTTTTGCTTAAATTTGCACTAATACTTGTCAAAAATTTGCTCGCAGCGAACTTTGATACCGATTCACACACGCTCTAAAAAGCAGATTTTCGACAATTGCTCAATTGTAAAAATTCGAAGCGGCTCACAGTGTTTCGACTATATGGAGGCAGATAGGAAAAAGTCATGGTGACAGTTGATAAAAAAAATGGTTGGACTTAGAGACGGAAAAGCAAAAGTCACAAATACCACATTTCACATTATTTACTCGCCCCCTTCTTCACGAACGATTGGCGCGATACCGAATAATCAGTTAAGTTGCCTTTGGCGATTAACCCATTAAAGAAAATGTTTCTGCTTCAACTGTAATCAATTATTTAAATATCGTGGAATATTCAGTTAAAGGTATTTATCATTTATTTGGTACTTTCCTATTG